ATTTAAAAAAAAAAAAAAAAAAAAAACATAAATAAGAAAGTTCTGGATTGTTCCAGACTCAGAATTTAGAAAAATCAAAATTCAATAAATCGCATTTACTAAAAAATAATTGTTGGTACTATCTTACCAAAATCCAGTAGCAACTATGGGTACACGACACAATAATTAAAAAATGGCTGCCAAAAAATCTTCACTTGTGTGAGAAAAAAATCAATAATACCCGGACGCGGCACTACTTTATCTACCGGTTATCGGTACTCGACTGAATCCCCGACAAAGAAAACCGAATCACAAACCCCCGCCAACCCCAAAAAAATAAGATAAACAGATCTAGGTATATATAAAAATCAAAGTTTACGGGGTATCCGGATATGCGCTCCAAAACCACTTATCCGATTACGATGAAACTTTGGTAGGTTGTTATGGCCATCCCAAGGAAGGTTTGTGGATAGGTTACGCATCTCGGAAAAAGAAATTAATTTTGAATTAATTATTAATTTAATTGTAAACAAACTCATTCACGTTACATAACAACATAATCCAACTTTTTTGACAGCATGAAACAACGTTGCCATATTTCAATTATTTAGGCTTGCATTCAACCGACGTAACTTTATTATTTTTTGAATTCAAGAACGGCTGGACCGTTCTTGAATTAATACCACGTATCTCTATATAAGGTGAATTCGATTGACCCAGATTAGATCGATTTGGGTTCAATTTAAGTGAACTTCTTCTGATCTAGATCATTTTTTTGTTGATAAGGGTGCACTAATCCAGCTTGAATCCAACACAGTGTGGTTCACTTAAATTGAACCAGATCGATCTAATCCGGTCAATCGAATCGGCTATAGTGTTACTGAACTCACTGGCAAGCGACTATGATATCGGATTAAAAAAAAAAAAAATTAAATAGAAAATCAACAACAAAACTTGAAAAGAAGTGTATTATTTCAAAATGTATTTACATGCTGGCAACGCAGCGGGTCATTAGCTAGTAAGGTAATAAATATGAGTGAGTGAGATGGGCAAAAAACCTAATTGCGTAATAGATTGGTATCCCGTATACCGACGGCAAATAAGTGTGTAAATCTCCTGTTTCTAGTTAGTTACAGGGCCGAATTAGTGTTAAATTTTTTAAGAAAGTTGCAAATAGGTGTGTTCCAACAAACTACAATGTAATTTACCGTCAAGATTCTGCGCAAAGCCTAAAATTTGTATTAGTGGCTCCGAAACCTTATTGATTATAATTTTTTTTCTATTCAGGCTCTCTGGAATAATTCTCAGTTTTTAAATTGTTCAAAATGTTGCTGGAAAGTGTCTTATTAGAAATTCTAAAATGTTCTAACTTGGCTTGAAGGGTTCTAGAGCATTCTATAGAAGTTTTCCAATAACAGATTTTTAAGTATTTTTATTGAAGCTCCAAAGTGTTCTAAATTGGTTCAAAAAGTTCTAAAATTGAATCTTAATTGTTCTAAAATAACACAGAGGTTTTTTAATTGTTTTTTGATTATTTTTGACCGAGAAAATCAATAATACCTATAGGTATATCATTGGGAATTAGGAGCATTAAATTCTCTATAAGCCCATGCAAAATTGGTTTTCGTATCTTGTGAAGTTTCCAAGATATTAAGCTTCAAAGTTGAAATTTAGTCCACTGTTGTGTTTCTTCATACAAGAGAACTTCGTTTTGCTTAGTAGATTTATTTCCCTAAATACATACAATAGTACTTATGGAGAGACGTGTATCGACCTAATGCTTGACTAAAATGTCCTTTTTTACTATCCAAAGTACTTAAATGTATAGAGCTATTATAATTGATTAATCATTATGTTTACTACAGATATTCCATCAATTTGTTATTTTTGAGACTAAAGTTTAATGTTGTTTACGTCATAAATTGACTCTTAATGAAGACAAATAAGTGACAGATGAATAAGTAATAATGAAGTTTGAGATTAGTGGAAAAATAGCTAAAGATGGACTGGTACATAACACCACATTTTGTCCAAAACTTCAAACTCGATTTACTCAAAAACCGTAAATGCTAGCAATTTCAACTAAACGCCATTTTGAATCAAGTGCTACAATCATTGAAAATTTTATCCCAGTACCGCTTTGGATTACCGAGATATTTAAGATTGAAGATTTTCAATTAAAAATCCACCCTAAGAAAAAAGTGCAAAAAATTGAAATTTTCTATTTTTGGATTTTTCTAAATTTTGATTTTAGAAATCGATAGAGCCAGTTCGAATTAGTTAAAAACAACTCTAACATCAATTGCATTTGGAAATTTCAATGAGAAAAAAATTCAAAAGGAAATCTAATTTTTGGCTCTGGACATTTTTTGAAATCCTGACATGCTCATGAATAATTGCTTATATCTTCGATTATTTTCAAGCAAATTAATCAAAATTATATATCATTAAAAAGAGCATTAAATTCTCTATAAGCTCGTGCAAAATTGGTCTTTGTAAACTGTGAATTTTCCAAGATATTGAGCCTCAAATTGGAAATTTAGCTGAAATTTTGTCCAAAACTTTAAACTCTTATTTTCTCAAAAACTATAAATACTAGCGATTTCAGCAAAATACCATCTGAAAGCCCTTTCCAAGAGCTACAATTACTGAAAATATGGTTCCAGTACCACTTTTGTTTATCGAGATATTCAAGATTGAAGATTTCCAATTGAAAATCCAAAGGGGGTTAGGAAAAAGTTCAAAAAATTTTAAAAAATTATTTTTGAGTTTTTCTTAATTCTGACTTCAAAAATCGATAGAGCGAGTTCAAATTAGTCAGAAACAACTTTTAAATCAGTTAGATTTAAAAATTTCGACGAGAAAAAAGAATCCAAAAAGAAATCTCATTTTTGACTCTGGACATTTTTTAAAATCTTGACACGCTCATGAATAATTGCCCATATCTTTGATGAAATTTGAGCAACTTAGCTACAATCATGTATCATTAGAAAGAGCATTAAATTTTCTTTAAAACTGTGCTAAATTTGTTCCAATAGCTCAAGGGGTTCCTGAGCTACAAACCTTCAAAGTTGCACTTTAATCAAAATTTGGTCCAAAACTTCAAACTCAATTTTCTCAGAAACTATAAACGCTAGCGACTTCAGCTAAATACCATCTGAAAGCTCTTATCAAGAGCTACAAACCCTGAAAATTTTGTCTTAGTACCCCTTCTGGTTACCGAGATATTGAGGGTTGAAGATTTGCAAATAAAAATCCAAAGGGGTAACCTTAGAAAAAGTGCAAAAAATTGGAAATTTCTATTTTTGAATTTTTCGCAATTCTGACTTCATAAATCGATAGAGCGAGTTCAAATTAGTCAGAAACAACTCTCACATCAGTTAGATTTCATAATTTGGACGAGAAAAAAAAATCCAAAAGGAAATCTCATTTTGGATTTGAACATTTTTTAAAATCTTGACAGGCTCATAAATAATTGCCTATATCTTCGATGACATTTGAGCAAATTAGCTACAATCCTGTATCATTGGAAAGAGCATTAAATTCTCTTCAAAACTGTGCTAAATTAGCTCCAGTAGCCCAAGGGGTTTCTGAGCTACAAACCTTCAAAGTTGGACTTTAGTCAAAATTTTGTCCAAAACTTCAAACTCAATTTTCTCAAAAACTATAAAAGCTAGCGACTTCAGCTAAATACCATCTGAAAACCCTTCTCAAGGGCTACAGTTCCTGGAAATTTTGTTCCAGTATCGCTTTTGGTTACCGAGATATTCAAGATTGAAGATTTCCAATTGAAAATCCAAAGGGGATAATAGATAGGTACCCTTCGAAAAAAGTGCAAAAAATTGAAAATTTCTATTTTTGGATTTTTCTTAATTTTGACTTTACAAATCGATAGAGCGAGTTCAAATTAGTCAGAAACACTTTTAACATCAATTATATTTGAAAATTTCAATGAGAGAAAAAATCCAAAAGGAAGTTTCATTATTCTCATTTTTGGCTGGTTTTTTGAAATCTTGACACGCTCATGAATAATTATCTATATCTTCCATTATTTATGACTAAATTGATAATAACTATACATCATTGGAAAGAGCATTAAATTCTCTATAACGCTGTGCAAAATTGGTTTTCGTAACTTTTGGGGTTTCCAAGATCTTGAGCGTGAAAGTTGACATTTAGTCGACATTTTGTCTAAAACTTCAAACTCGATTTTCTCAAAAACCGTGAACGCTAGCGATTCCAGCTAAGTATCATTTTCAAAACCTTAACCTTAGAGAATAAGACTAGAAGATTCAAAAGCCTGTAATAGAAAAACAATGATTTTTCTATCAAACATTCACATAATATTAGGAAATTGCCTATAAATTGAAAAATTCAATTAAAAAACCCTTCAATTGTGTGAATTCTCCCTCTTAAAACATATAACATAGAACCTAAAATTATAAACAAATATTTGATTAAAATATTACATTATTACATTACATAGTGCAAGCAGTAAAAAACCTTTTAATAAAGTCAAAGTATTGCCTAGTACGGCTCTGACCACTCAGACTTCTTGGGGAATATTGGAATATTGAAAACACTCAAAATATTTTCTTGATCCCAACTTGCAAATTCGAGTTGTTTACTAGTTTAAATACTGCAATTTAACTCTTGGGGTAGGAATAGCCGCATTCCTTTCTAAATTAGTAAATTGTCCACCCTTCGAGCTTATGGCAAAGAATGATTCACCTATGGCCTGAGAAAAATACTGATGAGGATTTTGGTTCTCGGAGGTAGAAATGGGCTTCTTTATTTTTTTTATTATATTTGGGCTTTTGGTAGATATTGATAAATATAACTTTGTTGAAACTTTGAGAATTAAACAATGGTGTAAAAAAAACATCCTAAAACCTGAAAAATCTCCCTAATGTGGGTTTCACACATTACTAACCAATTCCAACCATGTATACCATCTCAAAGTCACTTCCTACCAAACAACAAAACATCTAAAAGAGTCAATTACCATCATCAGCATATTTTTCCACTTCTACTACCACACTACGGTATAAAACCGACCATACAACAACAAAATCTTGACCAGTTACGGTAGTACCGGCGCGCCAAAATGATTCTCGCTACAATAATCGTACTTTTTTGTTTCACCGCCAACACTGCTCACGCCAAATTCAAAGTCATCCGCGAGTGGAACTATGTAAATTTCACTTGGCAAAATCCAGAAGTTTACCGTGACAATCTGGAACAACAAACATACATCCCTGAAAACAATATTATAGCCGGTTTGAAGTATTTCCAAGGGTACTACTACATTACCGTGCCTAGAATGAAACCGGGAGTACCGGCAACTCTTACCAGAATCCTTGCCGAGCAGGACAAAGACACTAGTCCACTCCTGGAACCTTTTCCAAGTTGGGAAATGAACACTTTAAACGATTGTGACTCGTTGCAAAATGTCCAAAACGTGGAAATCGATCCGGGTAATGGTTGGATGTGGATTATAGATGGAGGCAGAACTCAGACTCTGAGCAAATCGCCTGAGGTTAAATGCAAACCCAAGCTAATGGTGTTTGATGTTTTAAAAATGGAGCAAGTATTGAAATATGAGTTTCCCGAAGAGGTTGCAATGTTTAATGGGAGCTTTTTGTATGATATTGTTTTGGATAATACCGAGCAAGGATATGCTTATATTACGGATAATAGCGGCAAAGATCCTGGTAAGGAATTTTCTCGTTTAAATGATGTCTATCTTATATATCAACTCTTTGACGTCAATAAAAGTTTATAAGTTGCAGAAACTGAAAATAATTCAAAATTTGGACTATTTCCGGCACTTGGTTAACTTTAAGAAAATTTAACAGCGATTCAAGAGCCTGGAATAATCCAAATTTTGAATCTTAAATTGCTAGAGATTTTCTCTGGAACAAATGGCCATGGTTCTACATACATCTCAAATTGTCTAATGCATCAGACTATGGGTGATGATTCAAACTTTGGACTTTTCCCGGCTCTTGGTTGGTTGGCTCAGGAAAATTTGTTAGTGATTCAAGAGCCTGGAATAGTCCAAATTTTAAATCACTGCCTACTGAAGACAAAAATGATGCAAATATTTTTCATCAAAACAAGTTTTTCTCTGAATCCCATAATTGTACTCGGGTATAATAATAATTGTTTAAACTATTATTATATCATTACCCATTATTGTTCAAAGTACCGGTAATTTGTACTCGTTTTTACTAAATCGTATTTTATTGTTCGCACAAGTAGTCCAAAATACCGGTCCTAATTCCTTTTGAGTACTTATTAAGTGAAGTATTCTTTATATTAATTATTTAATAGCCGTTATTTACAAAAATATATTCCACCTACCCATTGATATATTGGTACTACACTTGGTTTAAATTATTCATATAACGCGGTAGTAACTACATAAACAAATTTGTTTGTGTTTTATCTAATTTAGTACCTACACATTTGTATAAAATTCACGGTCTTCTAATTTCCCAACTATAATAATTTAAAATAGTACCGTTATGATAATTACTTTATCGAGCAAAAAAGTGGTAGGTACCTACTACTTCCTTAAACTTGTTAACCTTTGCATCCGTTTTTTTTTTCAAGGTAGTACTAGTTTCGTGTACTAATAAATTGGCATTTGCCTTTTATCTACTAACTTTATGTAGTACCTACTTTTTCAAAAAATATATAAATTTTTAATTTATTATTATTGTTGTTTCTTCCTTTATAATAATAATTGGTATTCATTTATTGGTACTACCGAGGTGCGGCCTTCAAATTCACGGATTAAAACAATAGTTGCATCATTTTTTCCTAATTAATTATTGATAAGTAGTCACATCGCTACTTTGTGGGAAAAATGCTATAATTACTATAATTAAATAGTGAATCTCATCATGTGTGATTTTTTACATAAGTAAGGAAAAATGGAATAAAATTGTTCTTCTCGATAATATTATACAGGGTGTCCACTTAGTGCGATATCCCTTTACAGGGTGTGCAAATTTAATCCATGATTAGAAATACCTTATAATTTAGATTTTGGGAAACTTTGAAAGGTTATAACTTTTTTTCTATTATAGATAGAAAGCTGAAACTTTCACTGAATTTTATCCCAATCAAGGGACTACAATCCCTGAAAATTTCAGCTCATTTGCACTTATAGTTCCTGAGATAAAACTGTGTTAAGCAATTTGGGGTGGTTTATCAATTTTTCAATTTTTCTGAGTGCCTTTTTCCATAGATTTCGGCTTCAATACTGAGAATAATTTAGTTTATGGAGTTCAGGGTATCACGAGGGACCATTAGGACACAAAATCTCGACAAAAAAAAATTTGAAATTTTATCGTTTTAGTAAGAAGGTACCTACCTTATGATTTAGATTTTGGAAAATTTTGAAAGGTCATAAATTTTTTTCTATTATAGATAGAAAGCTGAATCTTTCACTGAATTTTATCCCTTCCAAAGGACTACAATCCCTGAAAATTTCAGCTCATTTGCACTTATAGTTCCTGAGATAAAATCGTGTTAAGCAATTTGGGGTGGTTTATCAATTTTTCAATTTTTCTGAGTGCCTTTTTCCATAGATTTCGGCTTCAATTCTGAGAATAATTTAGTTTATGGAGTTCAGGGTATCACGAGGGACCATTAGGACACAAAATCTCGACAAAAAAAAATTTGAAATTTCATCTTTTTAGTAAGAAGGTACCTACCTTATGATTTAGATTTTGGAAAATTTTGAAAGGTCATAACTTTTTTTCTATTAAAGTTAGAAAGCTGAAACTTCCACTGAATTTTATCCCTTTCAAAGGACTACAATCCCTGAAAATTTCAGCTCATTTGCACTTATAGTTCCTGAGATAAAATCGTGTTAAGCAATTTAGGGTGATTTATCAATTTTTCAATTTTTCTGAGTGCTTTTTTTCATAGATAGAAGAACTGGAATGTCACAATAATACTGAGTTTTGGAAAAGAGAATTTTACTTTACCCATAAAACTTCCTGAAAATTCCCTAGACTTAGACTTTCTCGAATTACCACTCAAAGTTTCCCTGGATTTCTTTAATATTTTTCCTCTAAGATCTCTTAATGAACACATCTGTGACATTCACGTAAAGTTTATATAAATTTGAAATAATTTTTTTACCAGCATTAGTTTTATCGTTTATGTCAACTTTCTCGTTTTCACCAACATAATCAAGTCCTTGAATATGCTCCAAAATTGAACTGGAAGAATTCTTAGTAACTGGATGCCTTGTCTTTAGAAAAATTTCCAGCGAATCAAGAGCCAGTAATATTTAAAATGTAGACTAATACAGGCTTTTGATTGGCTGGACAGGTTCTCTGGATGCAATCAAGCGCCGGTGATAATCAAAATTTGAACTAATACCAGCTCTTGATTCTCTAGACAGTTTTTCTAGATGCAATCATGAGTCGGTAATAAATCAAATTTTGATCCTGATTCCTTGGATAAATTTTTTGATAGAGCTCAGAATTCAAGACGAGAGTAGAGTACAAGTCTTATTCTACAACCAAATCCCATAGTAAAGCTGAGATTCATTGAGGTAAATCTGGCAGAAATTGATTTAGAGCCATGAAGTTTGCTACAAATAATTGCTAAAGTGCTACATGAACATATTTTACATTTACTTGAACTATATATGCGTCACATTTAACATAAAATTTACCTTATTGTGATTTGAAAAAAATTAGAAAATATATAATTGGGAAGTAGTTACGTGAATCTTTACCTTCTGTAGCTGTGTTAATTATTAGACTTTTCTTATAAACTTTGTTAATAAGTACTTTCTCAACTAGAAGGAAATACTTCTTTAGGTGGTTTTCCCTTTAAAATTTAATGCAGAAACTATAGGTAGTTGAAAAATATTTTCCGCATTTATATGTATTCCTTCAGATTTTCTTATATCTCATCCTTCACCGTTTCCAAGAAAAAATTCCTAGAATAGGTATGTTGAGATGCTCAGAATATGTCGAAATTAATCAGAAAATCATTGCAAAATCAGAATTTATAAAATACCTACCTGAAGAGAAAATATCTTTTCTGGAGTTGGTTTTTTTCTGAACAAAACACTATAGGACTTTATATCATATTGGCTAGATAGTCACTGTGGAAATCTCTTGTCCTATACAGGATGGAGATCCATGTGGAAATCCATGGAAATCCGGTGGAAATAAGTGGAGATCCCCTGAAGATACATGGAGATCCCCTGAAGATACATGGAGATCCGGGCAAATACCCGCAAATCCAACTTCGGCTGCAGAATCGAAAAATCGAAATTACATACGTGCGAACATCATTTTACCGTCGTTATTAATGTATAGGTTCCAGGAGGTGGAAGCAAATGGCAAAAACAAAACAGGTGTGACGTCAGGTAACCATAGCCGTTCTAATGTAGGGTGCCAGTGGTGCCAACAGCTCACATTCTTTTGAGTCAGATTGAAATCCACGGACTTCAGGTAGTCTCGATGGAAATTTTCCGTCCTATATACTGGATAAGGATCCGTGAAGATTTGTGGAGATACACGTAGATCCAATGGAGATACATGAAGATGCGGTGCAAATACCTGCAGATTCAAAAACTTTTGCTGCAGAATCGGGAAATCGTGATTGCGTGCGTGCATCATTTTAACTGGTACCGTGGTTATCAATATATAGGGGGGTCCGGAGGAGATAATGACCGTCGTTTATAATCTGACGATTTCCGTGTGAGGAGCGAGGAGGTGAAGCATTTGGCAAAAACAGGTGTTGCGTCAGGTGACCATTGGCGTTCTAATGTAGGGTACCACCAGTTCATACATTCCTTTGGAGTATATAAGATTAAAATAGACGGACTTTACTTGGAAATACATGGGAATCCAGATAATTTCCATGGAGATCCATTGATCCAATGCCTCGAGATTTTAGGATATCATTGACTGGATTTTTTCCAATGTTCAATTTTTCATTATTCTCGGCTCTTGATTCGGATCAAGAGCCGGGAACAAGCAAAAATTGGATCAAGAGCCGGGAATAATCAAAAATTGAGCATTGTACAAGAAAGGAAGCTACAAAATGGTATAAAAATTGGTTTGATGGCTGATTTATTTCAAAAAATGTTCAATTTTCAAATATATATATTCCTGACTCTTGATTCTAATTTCCTATGTGCCAGTTTCCCCTTCGAATTTCCCAAAAATTCCCCATATTTTCTCGAAAAACTCTTTTTCTTTGGAATTCTGTGATACTTTTCTAAGCTTTCTAATACACGTAGGTTCTTCATCTCTCACTTTCTCAACTAGAGGCAAATACTTCTTTAGCTAATATTCCCCTTTCAAAATTTGTGTAGAAACTTTCTCTATTTATTTGAGAAATATTTCTTGCATATGTTTCTTTAGATTTTCTCAAATATATCATATTTTCCTGTTTCCAAAAAAAAAAAGTTCCTAGAATATTGTCTATTCACAATCTGTAGTCCAAAGGTACAGGTAAAATTTAAATTTAAAGGTGATAAATTTACCTGTACCTTTGGACTACAGATTGTGAATAGGATATTATGTATGTTGGTATGGTCAGAGAATATCCAGAAATTTTAAAATAGCATCCTGTCGAATCAGAATTTGAAAAATAAAGAGGAAATCATTTTTGGAGTTGGTTTTTCTTGAACTAGACTATGTGAACTTCCATACCATATTGGCGAGGG